TGAAAATTGAATATAATTAGAGACTTTAGTCTATTTCTTGGGAAATTAAGCAATAATCGTGACAAAAATGTTACCTTAATGACTCTAGCTATATTTTGTAAATATTTCGAAACTATATTGCCACATATTTCACATCAATTAAGTAATGCCACGTGAGAAGGTGAGAATTGTTAAAAATTCAGTGAAAAACTCAACATAATTGATAGGTCATTATCCTATTGAGATTCGTGATGTTTATATTATGTTCACTTACATTTGCCTTAATTTGTTTATTACATGCTTAATATATATTTTGTAGCATTATCCTAACTAACATGTTTATATTAATCTTAAGTAATAAATATAAATCTTACTAGCATTATTCTAACATGATAATTCATAACATGCTTATATTAATCATAAGTAATAAATATAAATCTTAATTGCATTATCCTAACATGATAATTTATAACATGTTTATATTAATTATAAGTAATAAATATAAATCTTACTAGCATTATCCTAACATGATAATTTATAACATGCTTATATTAATCATAAGTAATAAATATAAATCTTAATAGCATTATTCTAACATGATAATTCATAACATGCTTATATTAATCATAAGTAATAAATATAAATCTTAATAGCATTATCCTAACATGATAATTTATAACATGTTTATATTAATTATAAGTAATAAATATAAATCTTACTAGCATTATCCTAACATGATAATTTATAACATGTTTATATTAATTATAAGTAATAAATATAAATCTTACTAGCATTATCCTAACATATTTATAACATGTTATCAATGATATCAATTATAAGTTATAAATATAACTATTAAGATTACATATTTTATATAAATACTTACCATAAATATTTAACATTATCCTAAAACCTTTTATTACATCTTTCATATAAATTCATAAGTGATTTATTACATTTTATATAAAATTTTACTATAAATATATATACCAGGTAATATTATTCCAATATGATTTATTATATGTTACATATAAATTTTTAATAACATTATCCTAACATGATTAACTGCATGTTGCATGTATAAATTTTCACTATACTATACACATAACATTATCTTAAGGTAATTTATTGGATAATTCAAATAATTTTCTACTGCACATATTTTTGTTTATAATTTGTATATAAGTACTTCTAAAATTATCCCAGTGTAATAGTTAGGTTGTCTTTGTAAGTTTAACAGTAGACAAAATTACACAGGGAAACCAAATTATCCTAATAAATATCTCTTTGTATATTTAAAGTAATATAATTAGTGAAAGAAATAACATATAGATAAGTAGTATTTGAACAATCAATATTAGCAATCTGGTGGTGCCTTCCTATTCCTATCAGATTGTCTATTGTATAACTAATAATATTAGTCTCTCACTATACAGTGTAATTTAATGGTCCATAGACACTTCAGTCTATTTATACTAATAACACTTTCAATTATTTAATAATTTACATA